AGCCAGAGACTGAAATTAAATTAGCAACATTGAATAATAGACGTTGCCAACCTAATTCGAAAGTCACAGGCCACTTTGATCAGATTTGATATTTTTTGTGCTATTCATTATTACCAATTACTCGAACAAAATGTCACACAAAATGCATACAAGCTTTAACAATTTTGTCATTGAATTGATGAAAAAAACTTTCAAAAACACTGTTTTCAATTTAATTTTTCCAGTATCGAAAAAAATTTCATAAGATAAATGTGGATATCCTTGCTTTGATATAATTGCCAAAGACAGACGGAACATGAAAATAAATTATCCAAACGGCTTTAAGAGAAGCAATCGAATCTACGTATCAAAAATCAAATTAATGAGCGGAGAGATAATCAAGTTTGGAAAATTGTTTTAGGAACAATTCTCCAAAGTATGTTCGTTTCAAATGTCAATTCAAGTTTACTTCAATTCGGAAAATTCTACACAAACCTCGATTTTATATAAATGATTCACATATTTATTCAATTGAAAGTTGGGAGATGTTTTCGTAGTTTCGATTTTGGGTGATTTATGATAATGCAGAAAGATAAAACAAGCAGCTACGAGTGGGTGCAATGCTTCACAAACTTTCTTTCATAAAATAATACAATCTAACAAAATAAACTCCACCCACGAAGGTGAATTTCAATTTGCACGTTTTCCTATTTAATTAAAATTGTGAAAAAGGGAAATTGCAAGATTGAGTAATTAAAATTGTAGAAACTTAATTTCGTGGCTAATACTGTTAGAGATCACCACTTGAACTCCTTCGCATTTTTCCCCCTTTTTCCTCCTTAGTGAAGAGGAAATTGTAAATAATCGGTTTACAAGACAATGAATTGAAAGACACCGTTTTAATCAATTTAACTCGCTAATCAACTGGAACCCAGTTGGCAATTAATAAAAGAGCTTTCGCTAAAGTCTTCAGTGCAAATTATCACTTTGACGCGACTTTTACTCAGAATCAAAAAATTTTCTTGCCTTTGAGAACACAAGACGCTCTCATGCAAGAATTAACTTGGAGTAAATAAATAAATCAGCAACGAACACGTTCGCAGGGAGCGGCTCAACTTTTAAAACAGAAACCACAATGCAGGTTTTATGTCCAATGATTTGTTTTTAAATTCCCGACATATGTAATGCAACACGAAACATGAGCTCTTCTTTCTTTTCACTAATGTAATAAGCATGAGGTTAATATTTTAGAAAGAGGATCGTAAAAACCCGTAAAACTGGAATGGATGAGCAAACCTTCCAAAAGTCTATTAACTGTGTTCTACGTATGTTTATTGTGGTGGCACATTTGTTTTCCTTTCAGAATACGTGAATGGAATTTAATTCGCTAATGCCACAAAATTTTGCTTAAATATCTCCACAAGTTATTCAAATAATTATGGAGTTTTAATTTATGTTAAAATTGTGTTTCGTGTGGGTGTCTTTAAGATGCTTTCCGCTTTGATGATATAATGGTTTTTAAATAAGAATTCAATTAACAACAACAAAACGTCTTGAAAATGTAATGTCTAAGAGCGCCTCATTAAAAAGTAAAAGAAACTACCGACTTTGTGAAATAGAAAACCGGAAAGATAATGTGTTAATTATATGATTAATTCTTTCATATTTAATACAGTTAATACAAGAATCGAGGTACCGTTAACATGAAATTAGTTGTACAATTTTTTAGGACTTTACTGATATTGCTTGGACTGTTTAAAAGTATTGGAATTAAATTATTAAGATTATCTTTGGATTGTTTGGAATTATTAGAATATTTCTGAAATTATTGTAATTCTTTTTGGAACTTTCGCAGATATTTTTTTTTAAATTACGTTGAATTTTTTAGAACTACGACATTTAAGTTGGAATTATAACAATTAATTTGAAATTTTAGGAATTAATCTGACAATACTAAAATGACGATGAATTATTAAAACTACTAGAATTTTGTTGGAATTTTTTGGAAATAGTTGTATACTTTTTTTCAAGTCAACGGCTCTTCGGAAAAAATATTATAGAAGTAGTCTTTAATTTGACTAAAAAAACATAAACATAGATTGACTTCTCGAAATTTATAGCATTATTTTAAAAAATTATGTAAAAACAGTAACAACAGAAAGTGTTATTTTATATAAATAAAAAACTAAAAATTAAGCAATTTTTTCAGGTGTACTCCAAACTCCGTTTAGCTGTTCCTTTTCAAAATATTCAGAAAAGACAAATTAAGTTGTTTTATTTTTTTAATCTCGCGTTGTGCATTTAAAAATTAATTAAAAAAAAAATAGAAAACTGAATTTTTAGGATAAAAAATTTGTTAAGTAGATTAAAAAATGTTTTGTCATCACGTTAAAATAATAAAATAAAATAATATCTGTGTTTTATAATTTGTTTCAAATATTTAAATACCCTAAGCAGAAAGTTTTGGAATAATTATTTATATTAAAACTGAAAATATTTTGTTTTGTCAAAAATGCTCGAACAGGTCAATATCGTTTTTAAAAAATACACACTTTTCAACTTGATTTAACATTTTACACTTTTTGGGTTTTAAATAATGTCATCTACATTTTTTTTAATAGAAACCCCTAATTTTATTACCCATTTTGATGGAGCTTTTAATTTTCAAAATGACAACATCATAGCATTAAATACTACATAAAGTTTTCGAAAAAAATTCATTCAAAAAGTGAAAAAAGGAAGCTTTAATATCAAAAACAAACACACAAGGAAGTTAAGAATACTGTATTTTTTATAAACTGACCTGTTCTGTTTTTGCCAAAACAAAATATTTTCAGTTTTTATAAATAAGAGATTATTTTATAATTTTGACGTTTACTGTATATTTCAAATTGATGCAAAAATTAAAAATCAAAAGTACGGTTTATTTTTTTTATTTTACAAAAATGCAAGAATTGTATTATTGTTTTTTAAACCCGGACCCTTTACACCATTAAAAAAATATTTACTAATAAAACAATAGGATTCCCTTAAACAAAGTTATTTATTAAAGCATTTGTTAAATCAAAAATCAACAAAAGAACAACCAGCGAGGGCATCATATTTTGAACAAATTCATGACCTTTTAATTTAAAAAATGTTTTAATAATAGAATTAATGATACAATTCGAAGCAAATTAAACCCTGTTGTTTGCATTAACGGCTTCATACACATCGATTTTATTCATTTTCCAGTTCGTTTGCAAAAATACATCAGTGAAATTAGAAAATAAAACGAAATAAAAACAAGCTTACTACAAAACAATAAAGCTTGATTAAATAAAATTCTCTTCCTGACTGAAAATTTAGATTTTGTGTAAAATATTAAATTAGAGAAGTTTCAAACGCTTCGTCTCTGTAATTATTTATTGTTGGCTTTCGTACTAAAAAAACAACCATAACTCCAAGCAATACCAGCTAATGAACACCAGCTTCGTAGTTACTAAGCACATTCATAACTTTTACATCAAGAGGATTACCAAGTATGGGGTAAAATACACAGCCTTGTAACGATAAATTTTCATTTATTTCAACAAGTATTAGGTTTTCTCTTCAGGAAAAACGAATCGTGGATGTGTGTTGGAAAAACTGCGTTTTAACCATCTCATTTCTTTCCTAGACAACCAAATGGTGATTTTAGAACATACACAACTTCGGTATAAATAATGCAAGAAACAAATCCGAAGCTTCCGCTAAGTCAGAGTTGAGGCAAAGGTGGAATTAAATTGGGATTAGCGACGAAAACAGGGATTAAATGTAGGTAATGGCGATGAAAAATTCATAATATGCACATCCAAATTCGTGTAAACACATTTGCCACAATTAATTGCAAAAAAATTATGAAACAATCAAAGAAAAAACCTGCAAAAATTAAAAAAAATAAAAACATGAAACGCAAATTCGGAAAAAATGCAAATTAAAGTATCTAATTGCCATAAAATTAAATGAAATAATTAATAGTATAGTCAATTCTGAAATTAAGAAACAAAAGAGATCAAGACTGACATGTCTCACATTTCAATGTTGTCAACTTAATTTTAAAAATCAAAGTTTACTTTAATTTAAGCGAAAGCGTGATATTTGAACTTAACTGTCTAGTTCGAAATTTCATTTTCTCTTAAAACAACTGGAATTCTAAACGGTGACATACAAAGGACCTTCATTAATTATAAAAGTGTTAACCCTGTCGCAATTTTAGTTTTCATAATTAAATAGAGCAGACTAATTTTATGTTGGTGTGTAATTTTCGTATTACAGCCTCTAGAAAACCAAGTGCCTTTGACCCCATTGGTTTTGCTAACTACATAGATCTAAGGATTGCAAGAACAAACTTTTATAATAGATTAAAGCTTTGATGTAAAGGCAAATGTGCCACAGGTGCGCCTTTTACACCTCTAAAATGACTAAAATGTAAACCCATTATTTTGGCAATGTTTCATTTTTTTATCATCTTAAAGACAAGGTTTTAAAAACGAAGACAAAATTAAAAACTTTAAAAAGCCAACACCTTTCAATCGTATAAACCACATAGTCGCAACTGTTTTATTTTTCCAAAAATCCGCTTATGTCGTTAAAGATGTTTACTAGACCCCAAAATGCCTCCATTATGTAAAATTATGAAAGATGACTATGTTGGTGTTTCCGGGTTAACCGTGTGCTCTCCCTGATGTTTCACCCACCCTTTGGCAAATTTGCTCTGGGATTTACAAATCCCCCACATCCAAACAAAAATTGGAAAATTTTGGAGTCAAGGATTTCAAAAAAAAACACCAAAATTGTAATAAACGTTGGTTTGGTATGAATGTTTCGATTGCTAGGTTGGGTGAAGGTCGCTGGATGGGGAATGGGGCGCTTTCCCGCCAAAAAATTCGCTTATGCCAAATTGTGAGTAAAATCGCGTGTTGTTTTTGTGTGTTGTCGAAGGGGGCGAAAACCGTGTGAAAGCCCTTCGAATCCGCAAAGACAACAAACAGTGAGCTTACTTGTGAGTTTATCCCTCGAGCTGTCGCCTCCTCCCTACAGCACTGTTGTTCCACCTCGTCTGAAACTACAGCAAGGAAAAACAGCACTTCACTACCGTCCGTGTTGTAGTTCCATGGTGGTCGCGCCGCACTCTGTTCAAACCTGTCAAATAACGCCGATTTCTACTATACTGCTGCTGCGTCTCGACGGCACGACCGCGCCGCCGCCGTCACGATCGATATTATACCGCCACGCATCCCGCACCGGAATCTCCAAAAACTCAAACCAACTACAAGATATGCTTATATTGGCGCATCTTTCCACCGAATGAAGCTGGACCTAATAGCCCAAGATGGATATTTGGGGGCGAAGCCCTGACCCAAATGGAGAGGATTGACTCGAAGAGTCTCAAATGGCTTTAAATAAAACACGACGATTTCAGAGCTTGGATAAAGATTTTTAAGGGTTTGAGCAAGCGAAAGAAACCTGGATTTTATCACCGACATCAAAATTTTAAAGCGAAGATCAGTAATTTACGAGAAATAAACAATAAATAAACAATGTTTTTCGAAAGAAAAACTAAAATAAAAAAATTGGTAAACTTGATTGCAAAATAATAAAAATTTGAAATTTTCTTGTCAAAATTTTTTTATTGAATGACGATGTAGAACAAGCTTGCAAATGTTTATCACTTTGCAAAATACAAAATTAACTCGGAAATTAATCTCAAAATTGGTAATATGGAAATAGGTAGAGCTTATTCCATATCTGATGGTGGCGAACTGACAGTGACAGAAAAGACACTTTGAGTGCGCCCACTTGGCTAAGATAAAAAAATACATTGGCGTACTTTTTTTCTCTAAAAATTTTGAAGACAAGGATTGTTAGGAATATCATTTTTGAAAATTCTTTTCATGCGTTAACAATTTAATAATTTATTCATCATTCTTCATCTTATGTACGAATACCTGCTTATTATAATTTTTAAAGAATAACAAGGTTTTTGAAATATTATTTCATACGACGCCAATGAACAATATTATTTTAATAGTAAACATATGTTTAGTGTCAAAATTCAGTCATTTTTAACAACGTCAGTTCGCCACGAGATTTGGAACAAGCTCTATCTCAAACAGTGTAAAAAATCTTGGAATTATAATAGATTCGGAATTACGATTTAGAGAACATGTCAACTTGATTGTAAAGAGGCCTTATAATTTGATTGAAAAGAGGTCTTATATTGCTTTAAAAATGTTATATCCCAATTATCACATTTTAAATTTTAAACTTCGAAAAAAACTATGCGAGTCAGGTGCTTTCCAACCTTAATTATAGTCTCATTATTTATTATTTATGTTTAGATTATCAATCTAAATATAAATTAGAAAAAATACAAAATTTGTGCTCTAGTTTTATTTTTGGAAATTAAGAAAATTTGACCATGTATCTCAAAAAATAAAAGAACATGGTTGGCTGCCAGTAGACCAAATTTATAATTATTTCTTGTCAGTGTTTACATACAGGGTGCACCAGAACTCGCGCCCCAGAAAAAAAATTTAAGTAAGGTAAGATACCAGGAACATGAAAAAATGTTTAAAAAATTCTATCTGTCAAAAAATTTTGACTTTTGTTTTTTGACATTTGACATTTTTTATATCTATTTAATTATACTGATGATCTTGTATATGTTTTTTTACAATTATTTAGTAAAGAGACAAAAATTTTGCCAATAAAAGCCACAGAAAACAATGAACAGAGTTACAATTTAGGATGCAGCTTCCTTGTTTCCTGTATTTTTTTTAAGTAGTTTTTCTTAATTTTAGTTAAACTTTAATGCAATTTTTTATTTTACTTTTTTGCTTATTATTTCATTTTTTATTTATTTATTTTTCTGTTTATTTGTTTTATTTTTGTTTGTTAAGGTGGTTAAGTACGAATAGTAGTTGCTAAACTTCGCCTCCTGAATTGTATTTACTTGCACTTACAATTCAATAAAACCGCTTTATTATTATTATTATTTGTATTATTATTATTATCAAAACACCTCGTAAATGGATTATGAAATATTTTGAAAACGCGAAGGTGGTGGAAAAGGACCAAATCAAGATTTGAGATCAAATTATTGTCTTGTCTGTTAATCTTGACTGGCCACATATTTTTAATCTTAGAACAATACGTGTCATGGTTTGTAACGCCCTAACGAACGCCAAACGTTTCATATTATTATTGATTTTTTAAACCTGTATACGATGAGTAATTCAGCCCATGTAAACGATACCAATTAATTTCCGAGACTCATTAAATATTCAGTTTGTTATCTGTATTTTTTTGAAAAAAAATTGTTAAAGCAGAAGTTTGTTTTAATAATATCGTAATGCATTGTTGTGAAACTTTTGTTGTAAGTTTTGATATCAGCAATTTTGTGATAAAAATACACGAGTTGCAATAGTTTGAAATTGTTTGACAGACAGTATGGATATTGAATGTATAAATTGAAGCCAAGCAGTATGCAAAATAAAACGTAAAACACCATTCCCTTGCATTATTTAAAGTTACGAAAAGTTATATGTACAAAGTGAGTCCTAATTCGAACACTCTGTATAAAAAAACAAATAAAAATTAGATCAAACGAATGAGCAAATACTTTTAAGCACTGTACTAAATTTTTACTTTTCTAATGTTAATAACAAAGTTGCCACAAAATTTTTAAACGTTCACCACCTACAAAAAATTTAAAAATATACTTTAATATTTTAGGGTGCATTCCAAAAAAATTATTTTTAATTATACAGAATCTTTTTAATAGAATGCAATTATATTTTGTGCCTACTAGGATGCCTTTTTAATTACTTACATATCCAGAAAAAAATTCCAATCGGTTCTAGAAGTACCTACTGCAAAAGAATATAAAAACAAAAAACATAACATCTTTTGTAATTATTTAAATTTTAATAATAACATAAATTGGTATTTCTAAATTTATTCTAAACTTCTAACCTGAAAATCGACTTTTGTCACTCTGATAAAAAATCACCATTCCTGAGATATCGCGATTGTAAGAGTTGAAGGAGTAACGTTCTACATCATATGCACATACAGAGTGCGCCAGAACTCGCGCCCCAAAGACAAATGCCATCATGTAGGGTAAGGTTCCAGGAACATTTAAATTAATTTAAAAAAAATTTATAAAAACTTCAAAGTTATGAGTGTTTAAATTTTGCACTTTAGACTCTATTTATTCCTGTTGGAAAAATAATTTTCCAAATTTTTTTGCTACAGGCTATAAGAAGCGGAAACAAGGAAGCTGTATTCCTAAAGTGTAACTCTGTTTAATGTTATTTGTGGCTTTAATTGGCAAAAGTGTTGTATCTTTACTAAATAATTGTAAAAAACATATACAAAATCATCAGTATTATTAAATAGACATAAAAAAATGTCAAATGTCAAAAAACAAATGTCAAAATTTTTTGAAAGATAGAATTTTTTAAACATTTTTTTATGTTCCTGGTATCTTATCTCACTTGAAATTTTTCTTCTACTTCATTAAACTTATAAATATCTCGATTCCATTAGAATTAAAAAGAATTTATTTGGTAATACATACAGGATGTTTAAAAAATCGCGCACTTCCTTGAAAGGAAGTAATTGGGTAATCTTCAAAGTTTTGAAAAAATGTTTAAAAAATTCTATCTGTCAAAAATTTTTGACATTTATTTTTTGACATTTGACATTTTTTTATGTCTATTTAGTAATACTGATGACCTTGTATCTGTTTTTTCATAATTATTTAGTAAAGGTACAAAAATGTCAATAAAAGCCACAAATAACATTAAACAGAGTTACAGTTTAAGATACAGCTTCCTTGTTTCCGCTTCTTATAGCCTGTAGCAAAAAACTTGGAAAATTGTTTTTCCAACAGGAATAAATAGAGTCTAAAATGCAAAATTTAAACACTCATAACTTTGAAATTTTTATATATACAATTTTTTAAAAATTTTTTATATGTTCCTGGAACTTTACCCTACATGATGGCATTTGTCTTTGGGGAGCGAGTTCTGGCGCACTCTGTATGTGCATATGATGTAGAATGTTACTCCTTCAACTCTTAGAATCGCGATATCTCAGGAATGGTGATTCTTAGAAAAAAAGTGTAAGTAGATAATTTTAAGATCTATAATTTTTGTCTGGGCTACTTTTTTTAAAAAACTTGCCGTTTTCGAAAAAAATTAAAAAAACGTCAAATTTTGACCTTTGACCCCGAATAACTTTTTTAGCACACATGGGATCGATGGGGACTTTTGACGCTTTATTTCTAATGGTGTACCCAAGGCCTCCACCAAAATTTAGCTCTGTCGGAATTTTTGTTATTTGACTACTATTTTTATGACTAATTTGACCGGACTATAATGTCAATAATGGATTTTCATCTCGACTCTTATTCATTAAAATTTTCATAAAAATAGTTGACACAACAAATTTTTGGCAAATAAAACCAAATGTATTAAGATTTGAAAAATTGGGTAGCAATTAGAAAAATGTTTGTTTTTTAATTCCGCTTCAAATGATATAAAAATAACCAGGACAAGTTTAGATTTTTACTCTCTTGTCCTAATTTGGGTTTAAGTCCCGATTTTAGAAAAACGTCTCGATTTTTGAATTTACCTCTTTAGCAAAATGTTTTTTTATTTATGTTTATATGCATAATTAATAATAAATAAATAAATTTACATGCGTATTTGTGTTTTATTTCCAAATTTATTATTAAATTATAAGAAGAAAAAATAATTTTCCAAGCTTTTTTGCTACAGGCTAATAAAAGAGGAAACAAGAAAGCTGTAATCTAAATTGTAACTCAGTTTAATGTTATTTGTGGCTTTTAATGGCAAAATTTTTGTACTTTTACTAAATAATTGTAAAAAAACATATACAAGATCATCAGTATCATTAAATAGACATAAAAAATGTCATAATGGCATAATAAATCATAAAAATGGCATAATAATCTAAGTTAAAATGTTACACATATTAGACTACTTAAAAACGTTGACAAAGTAAAAAATCACATCTTATTGGTTTTAGACAAACAGGCCAATAATAATTCCAAAACTTTTATTAAAATTAATTA